GAATGCAGAAAAAGCCATGGTTATTGGAACCATTAGAACGAGTTACTAGATGAGAATGGAGTAACTACTTTGGCTAGGGAAAAATATGAGTGGTCTAACGTAGCGTTAGGGTAGTGGGGCAAAGCGCCCAGGGCGGATAAAACGCCCACCTCTCTTATTTATGAATGCTCTACTTTTCAAAGAATCCTTGATAGCCATTTTCAAGAACACGCAGGAATCTGCTCGTACTTCTGTTTTTGGTTCCACAGGTTTGAACATTTATTTGTGTACAACACACTCGGCACAGGCTTGAATCCGCTTGATATAACTTTATTTTGAATGTGCTATTGGAGTAACTGCCCACTTTGGTATGGGGCAAAGCGCCCATCAATGGGCCAATGGGAGTTGGTTGGGACTTATTCAGTGCGGGTAATTGCGAGCACTTTGGGCTCAAATTGAGTGACGGAATATGTTTCTAATGCTCAGGAAGCTGATTTAATATGCAATTTTCTGGTTAGTATCGTTAACGGCAGTCGGTGGGCCTCCCAACCACCTCCCGCGCGGTGGGGGGAGCATTTTTGCCCCCCCCCCCTCGTATCTCCGAAACTACTGGACGGATCCGTAAAATTCAAACGGCGTTCGATAGCCCTGTCAAATTTGTCGAGGTAACTATAATTTCATTGACCTCGGGATCACCGATGACGTCACAGGTCAGGTCAAGGATAAAATGTTCCGCTGCTCAAATTTCGGAACATGGGGAATCGACTACTTTTCTTTGAAAACCATCCCGTTTGGGCTGCCACTTGAATGGCAATAACTTTGTTTCGATGCTTTTATGTTTTTGCATATATTTCATTTAAGAATAAATTTAAAACGTGTTTTATATAACTATTCTATTTGTCAGAACCATATAGGTATTGCGACATTGACAAGTGTTTTAGCAGCTATGCAATGGTTATAAGGCACCACAACGATTAGGTAAAAGGTAGGTCGAAATAAGTTTAAGTAGACAGCATACAACATCATGACTCATGCGCAATTTGCGCATGCACGGGTACGCACACCGTTTCACGCCTCCTCCAGGCTTGGACATATAAGTAGGTAAGTACGTGCATCTGCATATAGCAGCGCCGGGCAACGCAGGTGGACTTGATGCCTCCCATCAGAGATTTATTACTGGATTACTCCCATGTTGCAGTATATAATGACTTATCTTATCGGAACGTTTATCGATTTTTTACCGATGCAAACGCGTTTCCCCGTAGTCTGTATTAGATTCCCGTGTGCCGTAGCCTTTCTTTTTTAGAGATTGGTCGCAGCTATTAAACTTCCCTAACATTTTAGCATAGATCATTATCATTGTGTGTTTCAATTAAAACAACTGTTTTATAGCATAATTTTACAACTTGCTATGAACTATCCGTGTGAAAGATGATAGTCCTCGATTAGCTTCTTGTCGATCATGGTATTTTCACACCAATGACTTTAAAACCCCCATGAGCTTTACCATAAAACGATAAGAACGGCGGGGCTTATCGTGTACCTATTATTTGCTACCATTTACGAGTATGCCTATTGCCTATAATGCCATCGGTATTGCCATCAGCCATGGCAAGGGCAATGGCATCTGTAATTGGCAGCCGCTATGCGCGTATCTTTTTGATTAGAAGCTTCTCATGTCGCTATGAGAACGCTATCTTTCGTTTGTTTCGTTACAGCCGGGGCAGGCAGCGAGTACATGTACAGCCGCTAGTCGCATCACGCAGACTTCTGAAATCGACTGTATCACTAGTATTTATACTCTTATGGCTGTATGTTCCATTTCTCTATGTGGAAAAGAAATTAAATCTATACAATTCCTAAAAAGAAACCGAATGAATATTAACATTGGTGGAAATATGCAGGATGATGTCGGTAAGTGCATTTGACTAATGTTAATCCTCGCATTTAAATGGGGTCGAACGGACCCCCCTCGGTTTTTCGCAAATAACTCGCGCAAAAAAGCGGCCGATCGCGACGAACCTACAGTACTTTCAAGTTGATCAATTTTGCACCCATCCTGTAAACAGAGGCGGATCCAGCTCAGAGTTTTGGGGAGGGGCAAACCATAACAATTTATCGATTCTTTCCATGCATCGTCCATAGGCGTAATGTTAACCCTCGCATGTGTAGGGGGGGGGGGGTCGGATGGACCCCCCCATGGTTTTTCGCGAATAACTCGCGTAAAAAGCGGCCGATCGCGACGAAACTTTCAGTACCTTCGCATTGATCAATTTGACACCTACCCTGAAAATTTCATGACCCTGACCCAAATGACCTTTGACCTGTGACCTCTTTTCCGAGACCATGTTTGGCCGGAATCGCGATTCGGCGTACGTCGGCTCGCATTAGCCGCGCGTTTGCAAGCTTTTCGTGGTTTCAAACGTTCAAACATGTGATTTGATGTTGCTCCCATGCATTATGGTGGGTGTCAAGGTCACCTGAAGGTCAGGTCAGGTCATTGACCTTTGATGACCTCGGGTGACCTCGGTTCACTTTTTCGAGTTTTACATGTTTCTAGGCTAGTTTTTGGAGCTGAATTCGAATTTAGCAACCATTTGAACATTTACGAAGTAGTTTTGGTGCCTTCGTAACATGTTACGAAGCTGTCAGAGGTGGTTGACACGTACTACGAATACCCGTCACGGCGCCTACTGATTGACCTGACCTGACCTGACCCGACCTGGTCCAAATGCTTAAAGACATCATCTGTGATCAAAACTAACACGATATTCGTGATCAGCACCCCGAAAAACCCCATAGCAGCCACACTTTACGACTTTCTAATAGGTCCCGATTTTCCCGACTTTGGGTCATTGACCTGACCTGGAAGGTCAACCAATGACCTAGGACCTTAAAATTGGGTATCATCGGCTTCCTCTCGTCACGGGCAACACGCTTGTTTTTTCCGCGAAGCTCTAGCTCGACCAGGGGCCAAACGGCAAGGGGGGGGGGGTCCAACCGACCCCCCCTACACATTAGAAGCTGGAAAACGCCGCACACATGCGAGGGTTAAAATTATGCCGTTTGGGGGGGGGCAAATGCCCATTCTGCCCCCCTGGATCCGCCACTGCTGTAAATTTCATGAACCTGACCCAAATGACCTTTGACCTGTGATTTATTTCTCGGTCGAGACCATGTTTGGCAGGAATCGCGATCCGGCGCATGTCAGCTCACATTATTCGCGCGCATCCAGTCTTTTTGTGATTGTAAACGTGTTCAAACATGTGAAATGATGTTGGCCCCATGCAATATGGTGGATGTCAAGGTCACGTGAAGGTCAGGTCAGGTCATTGACCCTTGATGACCTTGGTTCACTTTTCGATTTTACATGTTTCTCGGCTGGTTTTTCGAACTTATTTCGAATAAAGTAACATTCTGAATATTTACGAAGCAATTTTGGTGCCTTCGTAACATGTTACGAAGCTGTCAGTGGCTGACCTGACCTGACTTGACCTGACCCGACCTGGCCTAAATGCATGAAGACATCATCTGCGATCAAAACTAACATAAAATTAAGATCAACCAATGACCTAGGAGCATAAAATCGGAATCATCGGCTTCCTCTCGTCAGGGTTCAACCTGACCTGGAAGGTCAACCAATGACCTAGGACCATAAAATTAAAATCATCGGCTTCCTCTCGTCAGGGGCAATACGCTCGGTTTTCCACGAAGCCCTAGCTCGATCAGGGGCCGAACGGTAGGGAGGGGGGGGGGGGGGTCTAACGATCCCCCCCCACCATACGTTCGCGGCTGGCAAAACACCAATACGGTTAAGGTGGGATGGTCAGTGGTCACTTTAAATTCCTTGCATTAGCACGCTTAGGTATAACGAGTTACGATGTGTGAACTGTGAACTAGGGCAATAAAAACCCGTGTACTGTAGCACAATTCATACTACCATGACTTCCAGTAGGGCCCAGGTGTAATGGACTCGTACCAAATACTCGCATGTCACTGGTCCTTACCAAGCAAGTTGCATGTTCTTAAACCATTCTGACGCTCGCATGTGTCTGCAGTCTGCACCATACGAAGCTGCGAATCCCTTGCAAAAGAAATCGGCTGATAACTTTTTACTCAATGCTCACGTAACGTGAGTCGCGAATGGTAGGATATTGCATTTTATACGCCCGCTTTATAATTATGCTGTCGTGTGTAATGTAAGAAAATTGAAGTCGGCATATGCGGTCAGACCTTTCATCAATTTTTCGTGCTATGCGCGGTTCCACACTATCGGTCAATGCAACGTACATACATGCACGAAATCGGCGAAGTGGGGCTACGTGAATTTCGTGGGCATAGTTATCAACGGCTTTAGACGTTATTGCTTTACGACTATTTAATCACGGATTTTATTGTTAATGGCTAATAAATTAGAAATGAAATCAATTAACAAATGTTAAAATGAAATTTTAATAACAGACATCAAGACAAAACAAATTCGCCTTCACGTTTCTTTTTAGATCTCGTCTTGTCGTTACGTTTGACGCATTTAAAGTTTCGTAGTCTTGCTCTTATAACAACAAATGGCGTGACCTAACGTAATTAAAAGGTCATCATCTCAGCAATGTCAGGACGGATTTAATTGAAACGTCCAGGGAATACGTTAAATTAATGTATATGCATCAGGTACTTTCAGTGGCGATGTATAGTTAAGAAGTTATTTCCTGAACACCGGATAAATACATTCAACCCTCTACTACACAGTGGTACGCCTCACTTTATAGTCATTTCTATCATTTTATCATTCTGCTCAAGCCATTTCCTCTTTAGTCGTTTTTACCTTCTGAAGGGCATTCATAGCTGCCCTATAATAGTTTGCTCTTGCCTCTAGGTATAATAGGTACTTTACAACAATGCGTACTTTGCGATGGAAGTTTGATCAGCTGTGTGCTATTCTCACCCGGTTATGCCACATTTCTAATCTCCGCTGCTATCGGCTGGCCTGATCTGACTTCCTGTGACCTCATCTCTCGCTGCAGGCTATCGGCGAGCTGCGCGGGCGTCCTGCAGCGGCGTGTGACTGGTGCCTGCCGGCGGGATGGGGGCGCGGCGCCGGCTCTGCTGCTGCGCCCTGCTGCTGGCCGTGCTGGCCGGCCAGCTGCTGCTGATGGCGCGGCTGCGCGGACACCGGGCGCCCGACGACCACACGGCCGCCTCTCTGGGTACGCTACCGGCCGCCCGCGCCGGACCCCGCCCAGCGGAAACGGTGTTCGGGCCGCGCGCCGACCTCACTGAATGTGGCCGCCGCGCCCGGGCACCGTTAGCGCACAGCCCGGGGCGCCATCGTGGCTTCCATCCCATTCACTATTTGTGCCGACATCCATACTCCCATCGTTCGAGCGTCACAAATATCGCATAGCCAAGGCCAGCAATTACCGTACATCTCTCAATTCAGCTTTGAGCGTCACGCATAGGTGCCTCATCGTACGATCCCGTTACAAAAGTCCACTACCTACCTGTTTTGTAGACTTGTGATTGTGAATCATGAAAAGGGAACCATATCTGTCTGGCACAGTGGTCAATTATTGTTTAAAGATAACAAGCATAGTACGGAATTGGGCAACTATTTACTACTTTTTTCCTGTGCAAATTGCATATACCTCATGAACAATGAACGAAACTCACGCGGTAGTTATTTCTCCAATACACAGTGCATGCTTATTCTGAGCCTGTACAGTTTGCACAGTCAGTTTGTACCTACTCCGTTTGACTTTTTGGAGCAAACCTAGTTAGGTACAGCGGTCGGCGAGTGTGGCAAAGCGTAAAACAGCTGTGACTTTTCTCGAAAGGTTTCTTTGGTTTTGTTTTTGTTGGATAGGTTTCTCGCATTTGGCATTCAGAAATGTGAAAATACTCGGAAACGACTGTTTCAGGATCATTATCCTAACGATGTTCGCTGAGTCACTGACTTCGGGTTACTACCGTTACAGGTCGACTACACGGCGGCCTTCGGCAGCTGGTGAGCGCGCCAGAGTCGTCTCCAAGCAGCGATACTGCGCCAGGGTCGGCGCCAAGTGGCGATACTGCGCCAGAGTCGTCTCCAAGTAGCGATACTGCGCTAGATTCGTCTCCGAGCAGTAATACTGCGCCAGATTCGGCGCCAAGTGGCGTTCACAACTCCACGCCCGAGTCGGCGTTAAGCACCAGCGAAAGCTCAATATTTGAGCCGATATCCAGTGCTGGTGTGAGCTCAGCGCCCGAGTTGGTGCCAGACAGTGATGAAAACTCAGCACCGGAGTCGGTGTCGAACCGAGACCAGAACTCGGCGCCAATGTCGGCGTCAAACTCTGACCAGAACCCAGTGTCAGGTAACAACCAGGCTCCAAACGCGGCGTCCAAATCGACGCCCAGTGACGGCCGAGCGCCCAAATCGGTGCAAGGTGACACTCCTGCACGGAAGGTCGCGCCGGTGTCGCCCCCGGTCGCCGCGGCGCCCCTCGCCAGCGCCTCTCCGACGGAGGTCCTGGACGGGAGTCCGCCGCACCTCATCATCATCCTGTCTTCATCGCCTCGCAGCGGCTCTTCTTTGCTCGGTAGGTGCCTCGCAGCGGCTCTTCTTTGCTCGGTGGGTGCCAACATAAACAATCGGTTAACAATCCAGTGGAGTTACGTCTTGCCTTCATTTTTTCGTGCATTTTTTCTATCGTCTCTAAGCTATCTGTCTAATGTCCATCGCCCACCTGTGTGCGTCCCGCGGTGATGGCCGATGGGCGCAGCTCGGGGCGTCTGCGGCTCTGTGAGAGTTGGCCAGCTGGTGCGGGCTGCAGGTCCGATACGCCCGTCCTCCGCCGGTGCGGGCCGCGGGGGCATGACCTCACCGCCGCCGCCGAGATTGTGTATGCATGCACGGGCGGGAGATTGCGGCGAGCAGCTCTGTTTTTCTGCACGGGAGGACCACGGAGACGGACTGACCCGGTGGTGTGGCTGGAGGTGGGGTGCTGTGGTGATGGTGAGTGGTGACTGGGTGGTGACGGTGATGCGCGGTGAACGGGGTGGTGACCGACAGTGATGATGCAACCGGACGGTGACGGGCACGGCTACGAGGCTAATGACACGAGCGGTGACTTTGCTGACGGCATGGATGTTGAACAATGGCTAGCGATGCTAATGACTGGCACCAGTTGACGGCTGGCGGTCAGACCAATGTCGCAGCTGGCGCCGGGCCGCCGCCGTGGCACGGACACCCTGCGGCTGCGGATGGGCCGATGTCGCCGGCACGGGGCGCACGCACGCACGTATACGGCGGTCGGCCGTGCGACTCTCACAGCCAGGTCCGCTATCGATCAGTGGGGGCAGGTCCGCGCGACACGCCAGCGCCGGCCTTGAATAAACCACCGCCCGAACTGCCGCCCGCCGTCCGCTCACACCCCACTAATGCGTCCGTGCCGTATATCTATGCGGATCCTAGTCCGCACTATACCTTATGCAACCTTGTTCACAGTGCATTGCACCAAGCAGTCAAGTGCAGAGCCGCAGCAAAACCGATCAACAACTTCGTTCAGAGTAATTCCGCTCTACATACAGCCTGCGCTCGCAGATCTGTTTTCAGCAGTCTTGGCCCTTGCCAACAGTCCATCGCTCAACACGGAAACAGTCCGCAGCACATACCTATATGACGTGTTTTTCTTCCGGGTACAGTACCCATCTCTTCACATATACGGTAAACTCCTGCAGGCTTCACTGCAGTCCCGTGCTCCCCCCCCCCTGACCCGACATCTCCCCTTCTCTGAGAACCCAATACGTCCCAGCTTCCGAGTTCCAACCGTTCCCGGTGCTGCTCAGGATTCACCCCTCCGATCTGAACCCGACTCGGCTCATCCTGTCGTCGGCGCGTGGCCCCGGACCTCTGTCCCGTGACATCGCCTCCCCCCCTCTGCATGGTCTGACGACATCCCTCGAGACGCGCCGTGTCGGCCGTCCGTTCGCCGTGACGTGACGACGCTCGCCGTGACGTGACGTCGTGACCGGGCGTGTCAGAAGGCCGCCGGTGACGAGGCCCGTCCGTGGCCGGCGGATAGGCAGCAGCACGCCATTGGCGATGATAATTTGATGAGCCTTGGAATGGTACACCGTGCCGATGTCAGGGCCACTGAGGGCATGGCTTATTAGGTTTGCAAGAGCCGAGCATGTATTGCAGGTGCATGGTCAAAGGCACGAGCTTGGCAGCTGTGCAAGGCGCTGAAGTGACTGGCGAACGGAGCTGGCTACTCTGATTGGTTCTCATGGTCGGCTTCGTGTCGGCAGGGGGGGGGGGGGTCGAGGGGGAAGCTGGCGCTGAGAGGCCAGTGACTGTCTGGAAACTGTGACTGAGAGTGACTGAAGCCGAGCGCACTGCACACCGGCGACCGCCCGACTATCACTGCGGGCTTCCCTGACTGGCGGAGACTTGTTACCAGGGATTGGCGATTGACTGGTAGCCAACTGATGACATCAAACGTGACTGATATACCTCCTAGCCTAGAGTGTGCGCACTGTGCATGCCTACAATGCAATGCGGGACATTTTACCGTGAGTAATAATTATATATCAAGTCATAGTTGATTTAGTTTGGTCCTTGCTGGGCTAATGAAAGATACGGCATTTACGGACGTTTATGTGACCTCTGGCGATCTTTGGTGCCTGCGCAGTTAACTAGTTTGCACGGATGTTTGGATTTCTGTAATTAATGAGGTCATTTGTGATGTTATGTCCGAATGATCTTGAATTCTTGCAGCGGTCGTAGACTGCTACGAATGTCGTGCAGACACGATCATAATAATAATAAATACTCGATGTTATAGGCACGGCTGGCTCACCAAGAAATATGGATAGTACGTATCGAAATACATACATACCACTGGTATTTCGGCTAGGTATGCATTGGCGTGTCGACAATGGTTTGTTTGTAATTTCCACTTTGTACATTGCATGCGCATGAGTTGTTTGGCCTTGGTTGAGGTGTTTATAACGGGTTTAGAGAGTGACCCAAGATACCTATGAAACGAGTGACCCTTTTAACTATGCATAACTGAGCATTAATGAACTCAAAGCTGCCAAATCATCAGTTAATTGATATAATAATAATAATACAAGTTTCTTTCATACCATAAGTGGTACATACAGGGTGGACAAAAAAGGATGGAAACATTTTGAACTCGCATAAAATATGTGTTATTGCATGCAGGTGACTGAAAATGATACCAAACGAGAGTACATTTCGTGGAAATTCATAATGACATCTCTCTCATCTGCTTTCTCTCGTTTTCAGTCTCTCACAGCAAATGTTCGAAGAGGCCACCTTTGCGAGACAGGCACAGAGCGGCCCACCTGGCTGCTGACGCCATAGCCCGATGACACATGTCCTCTGGTATGACTCGCACAGCCTTAGTGATCGCTCTCTTCAGATAACAGAGGCCTACATAACTTTCCTTGTAGACCTAGCCCTTGAGATGACTCCACAGGAAAGGAATCCATAGGTCAGATGAGAAGACAGACAGGCCAGTTCCACTTCGGTTCGAGGATGGGAGCGACAACACCGTGGCTGACGACCAAAAGCGCTACCAAGCGACGCTAAAGAAGTTGTTGAAGTGAGCCCAAACGAAGTATGGCAGTCTCATGAACCTCATGTGATTCCAGCCAGACGGCGCGCCACCTCACATCGCGAAACAACGCTCAAGTGGAGCGAGACCCACTTTGGTGACCGGCTGATATCCCGCAGTGCCTGTCGGAACTGGCCTGTCTGATCACCTGACCTGACCCCGATGGATTTTTTCCTGTGGGGTCATCTCAAGGCCAGGTCTACAAGGAAGGCTCTAAAGGCATCTGTTACCTGAAGAGAGTGATCACCAAGGCTGTGCGAGCCAAACCAGCGGACATGTGTCGTCGGGCTATCGCGTCAGCAGCCAGGCGGACCGCTCTGTGCCCGTCTCGCAAAGGTGGCATCTTCGAACACTTGCTGTGGGAGACTGAAAACGAAAGAAAGCAGATGAGAGAGATGTCATTATGAATTTCCACGAAATGCACTCTCGTTTGGTATCATTTTCAGTCACCTGAATGCAACAACACATATTTTATGCGAGTTCAAAATGTTTCCATCCTTCTTGGTCCACCCTGTATACATAGGCAATACACTATTATGTAGGTACATAATCGCAACCCTTATATAGGTACGCACCCCGGCCCGATATATAACCATAACGCAACCATTCTGAACCAAACTAGTGGAGTTGAAAGTCAAACTGCTGTAGAATTGAGATCAACAAGTAAACTCACTATTTGCTTACAAAGACATACCCCATGAAAAATAAAGCCCGGCCTTTGGCGGTTGACCTGACCTCAAACGTCACCGCCTGACAAGGAAGTTGTAAAATTTGGTATCATTCGCTGCTTCCCGTGGAGACTAATTCACTTTTTCGCAAAGCTGTAGCTCAATTATAGGAAGAAAGGAAGAGTGGGTCGTGCGCCTTCCCTTCATCCGTAAAATAGGTATGTTTGACGAGGGTAATTATTTCTAACGTCCTTAACTAGTGGACGGCGGCTTTCAGACTAATTCCCTCGTATTTCGCATCGATCAATACCTTTTGTGGAAATACGGTACCTATATGTGTTTCGCTTTTATTGCGTGCGAAACAATCGCCCGAAGAACGTTTTATGAAAATGGCGTCTCCCTGGACTAGACAGCTCCATGTTCGGGTGACCCATCAAAACATGTTCATAATTGCAACATAATGACGGAGTGGCGGACCTGTCCAACGTGCTCGTAATTTAATATGCTGCTATGACGACCATTACGATAGCGCCACGGCACGCAATGCGCTAAGTGGCTAACAAACAGTAGTGGCGGACCACCTTCAATTAAGGGGGGGGGGGGAGGGGAGGCACTGCCGACTTTTGGTCCCATTCTTCCCATGCAACGCCCATAGGGCTAATGTTAACCTTCCATGCGGTGGGGGGCATTTTTTGCCCCCCTTTAGTTTTTTCGATATATCTCCAGAACCGCTGCGCCGATCGTCACCAAACTTTCAGTACCCTCCCGTGAATAGCTATTGCACATTGTGACCAATTTTCTTTCCAAAGGCTATGATAGGTTGGCCGCTATTGACGTCAGAGTGACGTCATTTCTTTTTCTGCCATTTTCCACCCGAAAAAAGGTTTCGCGGGAAGAGCTGTCAGGCCTACAGCTTTAGAGATACAGAAAAAATGTTTCAGACATAAAAGGTGTAGAATTAAAAGGACTACAAAACTCTAATATCAGATTTGTGAAATTTTTGGATTTTGACCTCCAAAATAAAAAATAGATTTTTTGAAAATCCCAAAAATCCAAAGTTTTTTTTTTGAATTTCGAAAAAACCGGCATATATGTGATAGTCCATACCGCCTTCTATCTACATACCAAATTTGAGATCGATACCTCTTTTTTTGGCCAAGTTATAGCGAAAAACCTTCAAAATTGATCACGTCAAATTTTCAAACTACATTTTTAGCAATTCTAGATCTCGTAGCGCAAAACAAAGACCACCATTAGACTCTCCGTGACGAGTTGCATCGAATCAAT